AGAATTATGTGGGATACAATCAAAAGCAAAAATTTGCAAGTGATCGGATTTCTGGAACAGGGGGAGAAAACGGAAAACACAGAGAGGATCACTGAAGAATTGCTGACAGAAAACTTTCCGAATATCATGAAAGATGAAAAGCTGACCATCCAAGAAGCTCAACTAACCCCATAAGGTAGACCTCAAAAGAAAATCACAAGGCATATCATAATCACAGTCGCTAAAACCAAAGACAAAGAAAGAATCCTGAGATCAGCTTGAGAAAAATGAAAAGTCACATACAGAGGGGAAACAATAAGACTAAGCTCTGATTATTCAGCAGAAACTATGCAGGCAAGAAGGCAATGGGATAACATATATAAAACCTTGAAAGAAAAAAATGACCAACCAAGAATAATATATCCTGCAAAACTCTTGTTCAAATATGATGGTGAAATTAGGACGTTTCCAGACAAACAGAAATTAAGGGAATAAGTAAAAACCAAACCAAACTTACAAGAATTATTAAAGGGAGTCCTTCAGTTTGAGATCAAACAACATCAGACCACAGGCTGAATCTAGGACGCAAAATCATACCAGCCAGATACCAACCTAGGAAATAAACTCTCAAGGGCTATCCAAAATGAAAAGAATTACAATAAGGAACCAGAGAGGTTAATCTATACATGACAATGACGTCAGAACAATAAAAGAGGAAATAAATAATGTAGGTATAGAACTTTCTAATGGAGAGGAAGGCAAGGCAATACCAAGTAATAATAGACTGGCTCAAACCCAGGAAGATAAGGGTAAATTTCAAGGTAGACACAAAGAAAGTTAACAAACCTACTCATCAAAATAAAGAAGAACAACATAAAGTCTCAGTAAAAACAAAATCTACAAAAACAAATGAAAAAAACAAATCCACAAACAAAAGGAACTAAGCACAAGAGAGTAAGAGGAACAAAGAAAACGTCAGCACCACAAAAAAAAACCTACAGAATGACGCAATAAACTCACACCAATCAATAATTTCACTGAATGTAAATGGCCTAAATGCATCCATAAAGAGACAGAGAGTGACAGAATGGATTAAAAAACAGCATCCATCAATATGCTGTCTACAAGAGACACACCTTAGAAACAAAAACATAAGTTCATTAAAAATCAAAGGATGGAAAAAAATATATCAAGCAAACAGCTACCAAAAAACAGCAGAAGTGTCAATACTAATCTCAGATAAAATAGACTTTAAAATGAAATCCACCATAAAAGACAAAAAGGGCACTATATAATGATTAAAGGGACAATCCATCATGAAGACATAACCATAATAAGCATCTATGCACCCAATGACAGGGCTCCAGAATACATAAAACAAACTCTAACAGCACTGAAAAGAGAAATTGACAGTTCCACAGTAATAGTAGGAGACTTCAACACACCACTCTCAGCGAAGAACAAAACATCTAGAAAGAAACTGTAGCCATGGAGGAAAGATTTCAGCCGAGCTTCCAGACTAAGACAGACTAGAAAGAAGGACCTGGTGGTCTACTTCTGAAAAAAATTAGCTGGTGAAAACCTTCTGAACACCTAATAAGGACCTTAAAAGAAAAGAAATTTATGAGCCAATCTCACTCATGAATATATATATATATATATATGTATATACACACAAAACACCCAAACAAAATATTAAAATCAAATCCAGCAATATATTAAAGAATAATACATCCAGACCAAGTTTTGTTTGTTTCACGAGTGAGGGATTGGTATAGCAATTAAAATTCAATCAAAGGAATTTCCCATATTAACAGAATAAAGGAGAAAAAACTTAAGATTATTGTAATAGTTGATGAAAAGTCATTTCATAAAATATTTATCATCCATACATGACACGCTTTAAGAAATAAATTTTAGAAAATTATAAATAGAAGGCAACTTCCTTACCCTAATAAAATATAGATACAAAAAAAAAAAAAAAAAAACCTGTAGCAAACATCACATTTAATAGTGAGAATGTGAAAGCCTTCCCTCGGAAACAAGGATGCAAGTTATCACCACCTTTGTAAAACATTGTTCCTGGAGAGCTTTGTAACATGGCAAAATAATAATCAATGAAAATAAATAAAAAGTATAAGGATTGAAAAAGAAGAAACAAAGCGGTCATATTCACAGGTCACATGATTGTCGATGTAAAACAATTAGAGCTAATAAGTGAATTTAAGTTCTCTCAATACAAAAATCAATTGTTCCTCTATATACCAGCAAAGATCTAAATAATGAAATTTTAAAAGATACATCATGTTCAGTGGCATCAAAATATATTCAATGCTTATAAGTAAATTGATATGCAAAACCTTTATACATACATGTACATGCAATCTTTTCTCAGAGTGGTTGTTTAAATGAAGCACAGACATGGAAGTCAATGACTGAACTTAACAAGCATCTCCCATTGGAAAAGGCCTGGGGACCTGAGGTAAGAAGATCATTACCCTGGAAATTGTTTATTGATAACAATTAATTTAGCATTACAGTATTAACAAAAGCTTAATGGAAACCAGTGTGGATTTAAATTTGTTTTTATCAATCAAATTCTATTTTTCCATTGGATTTTATTATTATTTCAAAAATGCTTCATCTTTCTTTCTGGATCTTCTGTTGATCTCGTATTACCAACAATTTTGTTTTAACTTTGTATGCTGACAATCTATGTTGCATATTATTAGATATCTGGTAAATAGGTTAGTGCATTGAGAGTGAGTCTTTTTAAAGAATGTCTGAAGTTTTGATTCTTGTATACCTGAAAGACCATTTCTTAATGCCAATTATCAATCCCATATTGCTTTTGATTACTTCTGATATTTTCTTGAAGTTTGTGTATGTTATTTGGATAATCAAATCATATCTCATGAATAAAGGGTGATGTATAAGGATCCCCGGCTTGTAAAATGTAAACCCTACTAGGAGAATGTTACTTTGTTTCCGTGTCAGAATGTATATGGACTAAGACAAGGATATATATACAAAGGATGTGCATTGTCCTCTGTATTCCCAACTTCAAATCCTACTGTCTATCTACCACTTCCTATCTTTCCACAACATAACCCTACTCCAACCATCTTTTGAACAATCCTTCAACCCCAGCATAACCTTCAATCCCTTGATCATACCACCTTCACCCCACCCCAGGTTCTTTTTTCCTTCCTAATCCAGTTTAAATTCCATGGTCAATAATTATTTTACTCTGTTAATATGTACCCTCAATTCCGCTTCTCCCTTCTTCATATTTGTGTGGCTAAATCACAGCCCTCTCTAAATCCTACTGTCCACCTCAGCAGCAGCTGCATATGGCTAGAGAAAAGCACACCCATGTTGATTTGTTTCACTTAAATTTCATGATTAAAGCTGTCCCTCAATCCTGCTCGGCAAATATACTGTATTTGTATGTTTTTGTAAAACTGTACTGTATTTCTCTAGCCCACTGCCTCACCCTATCTCGTAAATAACTATTGCATACTTTCTCCTCACTCCTAAAATCTCCAACACCTATTTCCCTATTTCCACTTTTATCTAATAAACTTGCTGCCTACTTCACCAAGAAAATTATGGTCATTATTAAATCAGGAGCTAGATCCTGTTATTTAATGTTATTTAAAGATGTAAATATGTTAAAATTTGTAACTATATTGCCACGTAGTTTTTTTAATATTTGGACCACTGTAATTCTATATAATTGGATTATAAACAATCTATTTTATATTATATTTTTAAATACGTTATTCTAAGAAGATGTCCATAGCAGCCTATAAGCTTTGCCTAATTTCCAAAGGGGCTCACAGGGCAAACAATTTAAAAATAATATAAGGTAAATACACACACACACACAATGAGGTTAGGAACCCCTAGCATAGATATAAAAAGAGAAGGTCTGAACTTTGGACCATTCAAATACGGGAGATGAGGAGCAAAGGATATGAAAAAGGAATAGGAGGAAAACAAGGTGAGTGTGCCGTCCAGAACATCATACAAAGCAAGTTTCATAAGAAGGAGGGAAGGATCAACTGTGTCAAATCCACAACTAAGATAATCAACTAAGATGAGGTCTGAAAATTGATCAGTTAGTTTAGCAACATGTGATAACTGGTAACTTCGACAGGAGCAGCTTTGGTGGAATTGTAAGAGAAAAACCTTATTGAAGTAGATTTAATAAAATATGCAACAAAGAAATTGGAAGTGGTAAGGACAGACACCTAATGAAGAATTTTTCAATAAAGGGGAGAGAGAAATGGGGTAGTAACTGGAGAGCAATGAGGTAAAGAGACAACCTTATTTTTTTTAATAAGTTGAGTGAAACAACCAAGTGCATGCTGATGGGAATATTCCAACAGAAGAGGAAATTGATGATGCTCTACTACAGGGTTACTGTAAGTTGGAATAGACTTGATGACAACACGTTCTACCTAACATCTCAAACTTAACATGTCCAAAACTGAGCTTCTGATCTACACCCTCCAAACATACTTCTCCAACATTCTTCCCCACCTGCGTTAATGGAAACTCCATCCTTCTAGTTTGCTTAGGATAAACGCCTCTCAGTGTCATCTTATGAGCCACATTTGGTCTTTCAAGAAATGTTTTGGCTCTTCCTCCAAAATGTATTCTGAATTTGGTCACCTGTCATCACCCCCATTGCCACCACTCTGTTTCAAGTCAGTGTCACCTATCATCTGGGTTATGATGTAACATCCTCTTAACTGGTCTCCCTGCTTCAGCCTTACACCCCATGAATTCATTCACAACACAGCAGCCAGAAAGATCCTTGCTGTTGATGTTTTTAGGCGCCATCACATCGGTTCCAACTCACAGCAACCCTACGTACAACAGAATGAAACACTGCCCGGTCCTGCGCCATGCTCACAATTGTTGCTGTTTGAGCCCATTATTGCAGCCACTGTGTCAGTTCATCTCATCGAAGGTCTTCTTCTTTTCACTGACCCTCTATCTTAGCAAGCATGTCCTTCTCCAGGGACTGGTCCCTCCTGATAACATGTCCAAAGTATGTGAGATGAAGTCTCACCATCCTCACTTCCAAGAAGCATTCTGGCGGTACTTCTTCCAAGACAGAATTGTTCATTCTTCTGGCAGTCCATGGTATATTCAATATTCTTTGCCAACCTCATAATTCAAAGGCATCAATTCTTCAGAATGATCCTAAAGAAACATAAATAAGAACATGTCACTTGTCTGATCAAAACACTGCAGTGGTTGCCATCTCACATGCCAAAGCCTGCAAGACTTGCCGCCCCTAGCTCCCTTAGTTCTCCAGGTTGTAAATATCAACTAGTCAGTGAGGACTTCCTTGGCCCCCCTATCTAAAATTTTAACCATTACCTGTGATAGTACATATCCCTTTTCCCTATTTTCTTTTATATCATTATCATTTATAATTCTCTGACATGTTATGGAGCCTACTTATTGAACTTATAACCTGGCCCCCCAACTAGAATGTAAGCTCCATGTGGACAGGGTTTTTTTCTGTTTTGTTCACTGTTGTATCCCTAGCACGTAACCCATTGTAGATGCTCAATAAATATTTGTTGAGCTAGTTATTTAATTATAGATAATCTACCTATTAAATCTGAAATTTTATTATTCCAAATAATTTTCCTTCAACCTGGTTAGGACACTGCAACTATGATGAATTACCTCTAAATATTACTCCCATTGCTGCGTTCCTCATTCCTAATTCAAAATCCTGGGAGAGAACTTTGAAAGTAACAGAACTTAGGAGTTGCCCAACCCTCACCCTCAGCTAGATCTTAGGGCAAGGAGGAAAAGAAAATCTGTGCCTATCAGCTTTTGTAATGAAAGGTGGGGACTTGGAATTACCCTCCCACTCTGATGATAGCCAAAAGGAAAAGGAATCAGAGTACTATTGAGACTAGTCAGGGCTATGAGCAGACTAAATAAATAAATAATAAAGCCACTGTCCACGTATACTGCACTCAGAAAGAGGTAACGCTGGAATCCTCTTTTAATTAAAGTTACAGTGTTATATTAGGAATCCTTGGGTGGCACGAATGGTTAAACGCTGAACTACTAGCCGAAAGTTTGACAGTTCAAACCCACCCAGAGGCACCTCAGAAGACAGGCCTGGCAACGTGCTTCTAAAACATCACAGCCTTGAAAACCCTGTAGAACAGCTCTACTCTGCACACACTGGATGGCCATGAGTCAGAATCAACTCGACAGCAACTAACAACAACAGCATAGTGTGATATTAGCTATAGACCTTGATGACAATTTCATCTCCCAGAAGAAATGAAGAGTAGTGGGTTTTGAAATGGAAGTAACAGTAAGTGAGATAAGAGCCTATATCCTCATATTTCATGATATCCAGAGAAGAGAAGGCAGGCATAATTAGAACTGTACCTCACACTTCTCAAAAATTTCAGATAAAATCCCAAAGAGTCAACAAGAAAACTTTTAGTACTAATAGAGGAATTTAGCAAAATTGCAGGCTAGAAGGTCAATGAAAAAAATCAGTTGGGTTTCTATACACCAGCAGTGAGAAATCTGAAAAGAAAGTAATTCCATTTACAATAGCATCTAAGAGAATAAAATACCTAGGAATAAATCTAACCAGAGACGTGAAAGACTTACACAATGAAAACTATAAAACACGACTAAGATTAAAGAAGACTTAAATAAATGGAAAGATGTTCCATGCTTATGGATTGGAGAACTTAATATTGTTAACTTGTCAATACAACCCAAAGAAATCTATAGATGCAACCCCAATCAAAATTCTAACACCCTTCTTTATGAAAATAGAAAAACCGATCCTCAACTTTATTTGGAATGGCAAGAGGCCCCAAATAGCTAAAACAATTTTGAAAGAGAAGAACAAAGTAGGAAGACTCACACTTCCTGATTTTAAAACATACTATACAGCTACAGTAATCAAACCAGTCTGGTACTGGTATAACAACAGACACACAGACCAACGGAATACAATTGAGAGTCTGGAAATAAATTCACACACCTGTGGTCAACTGATTTTTGACAAGGATGATAAGTCCATTCCATGCAGAAAGAAGAGTCTCTTCAAAAAATGGAGCCAGGAAAATTGGATTTCCACGTGTAGAAAAATGAAACAAGATCCATGCCTCACACTATACATGAAAACAAATTCAAAATAGATTAAGGGCCTAAATGTGCAAACTAAAACCATGAAATTATTAGAAGAACAACATAGGAAACACTGTCAGGCCTAGCTTTCAACAATGGATTATCTAATATAATAACAAAAGCAGAAACAGCAAAAGACAAAATAAATAAACGGGACCTCGTAAAAATTAAAAACTTTTGTTCATCAAAATATTTTACCAAAAAAGTGAAAAGACAAGCTACCGACTAGGAGAATATCTTTGGAAACCATATATCTGACAAGAATCTAATAATCAAAATATATAT